GAGAATGCCGGAGCAAAACTCACCCCCGCGGTCGGAGTGAAGACAGCTGACACGACGACCACGAGTGTCCGCAGTGGTAAGTAACCACCGGATCAGCGTAGAAGTCACCTCGGACTTCTTCGCCAGGGGAAACACTGTGGTGTAGCGGGAGTAGTCGTCAACGACCACCAGAAAGAAACTTTCTCGCTCAGGGCCAGGGCAAGAGGCGGGGCTGGACGAGGGAAGGAGGAGTGAGGGGTGGCGCGCAGCCGACCCTCGACGCATGGATCGCAAGGCGGTGCAAGTGAAGGCGACAGCAATGGCAAGACACACGGGAGGCCTAAGACAAGACGCTGACTAGACATAGTGCGCAGGCGAGGAATGGACGGGTGCCCCATCCGGTGGTGCCACAGAACGGTGGGGTGGGCAAGCGACCGGCACGAGCAAGACGCAGCGACGGGACCAGACACTGGAACCTGGTGGGAGGCGGCAACCTGGTGAGACGCAGGGACCTGACTGGGGGCAGTGACAGGGGTCGGAGTCAGCTGCGGCTGCTGCTGCTGTTGTTGCTGCTGCTGCTGCTGCTGCTGCTGCTCTCAGGGGCCAGTGTGAAGTGTGTAGAGACCAGAGCCCGGCTCAGCGTGAAAGGTGGCCAGGGGCGCATACGTGTCACCATCTACACAGGTCGCAGAGTCCCCAGAAGGCTCAAACCAAACACCCACGTGACTACCCACAAGCAGCCTCACACCCACCAAGTTCCTGGAGAACGAGGGGACGTGGAAGCCCATCAGGAAACCTGAGGGAACAGCCGGGCACGGAAGCGTAGTAGTGTAGCGAGTAGTGACTGGTCCCGAAGTGGGATCAGCTAGCGCTACAGAGACCAGCGTAGGATGTGGAGTAAGAGTCGTGTGGTCGCGGAAGAAACAGTGCGAAGCTCCGGAGTCCAGAGTGAAAGACAGCGAAGCGTCCTCCGGAGCAGCTCCTGGACTAGTGCCTACGAAAGTAGCTAAACTAGCAACTGACACATCAGCAACACTAGCACCTAAGCTAAAAACACATGAATAAACAGAGTCAGAAGCACTAGAGTCAAAAATAGCATACATAGCATGAGGAGTTCCTAAGAGATCAAGCAACTGAGAAGCAGACATGCCCCACAGGGCAGCACCGTGCGAGCGAAGAAAATGAAGCCAGTCATGGGTAGGGCAGTCGACGCCGTAGGCCGCGCGAAGAGTGTCAATGAGCTGAGCAAAGCACTGACCCTGAGTGTGGCGGCGGTCATAGTGGAGGCCTCTGCGAGTACCTATCTGGAAGAGATAGGTGCAGAGAGTGTGGATGTCATTGCGCGACAGCTGACGCGGTCCTGACCCCTGTCCCGGAGCCTGCTGCTGCCCTTGCTGCTACCGTTGTTGCTGTTGTGGCTGCTGCGAGAGGAGTGGCTGCTGCTGCTGCTGTCGCTGAGTCAGGTACCAAGCCGCCACTCCAGCACCTGTACCTGGCAGTCCCGCAGGTGCCCGACTAACCCGAGCGTCACCTCCACCAGCTGCAGCAGGGGAGTCACTAGCCGCTGCACGAGGCGCTCCTCCAACTCCTGCACTCCCGCCACCGTCAGTTGCCACGCCACCTCCGCCGCCTCCGCCGCCGCCCGCACCCTGGCCGCCCCTCCTGCCACTCCTACCCCTAGACCGCGCAGAAGTCGTAACAGCAGCTGCGGTCACGTCAGTAGCGGCAGTGGCGAGTAAGGCAGTAAAGGTGGGCAGCTGAGGGACAGTGCACCCGTGAAACAGTGAAGGGGGCACATCACGAGAGGCGGAGGCTACTGAGCGGAGGTTACTGAGCGGAGGTTGCTCTCGACGTCCTTGAGGGCAGACTCAAGGACGCCGATAGTGAGCTCGCTAGGGTGTTTCAAAAGAAGCGCGTCACGAACCGAGGCAAGGCGGTCAGGGAGGCTAGTGGCGATGAAGTTGTTACGAATGGTGAATTAAGAAGAGAACTGTGCACTCTTGACAGCAGCAAATGAGTCACACAGTATCGAAGCCCGGAAGAATGAAGAGTCAGAAATGACTCAAAGCGACGCAGACAGTTGGATGCATTTCGACCGTCGAAATGAAACGGCATCGGCAGCTGCAAGGGCGAAGGAATTGGCGGAAACAGTTTCGTAATTGTTCGAGCCGCACGGTTGGGTTTGAATTTGAATAAGGGAATGTACGTACATGGCTAGCTAGGTCGTTTCGTATTCCCCTGTACTACTACTTATATGCCCATGTTTGCATGTCTTCATCATCTTTATCATTTTACATACACTTTGAATTGAGGTCAAGGGCCCACCACCAACTGCACGACTTTGTGCGAACCTTCCCGAAACGATCCTAGGTTACGATCAATTGCTGGTCGTAGCAGAAGTAAATAAATAGTAATCGCCATGGGGGGAGGGAGCAGTGCAAGTTGTACGTCAGTGCAGGCAACACGGTATCTAGAATCCAGTGAGCGCTGGTGAGTGATCAAGTCAGCAGAGCGCTCAAACGAGGCGAGGTCAGGAAACAGGAACGGGAGGAACAGGCGACCAAGAGAGACAGTGGTGGGAGTAGCGTAGCGGGCCTTGATCGCAGTCAGGAACTCACTAGCCGTGCGAACCTGAGTGAAGTGGGTCTCCTCAGACTCAGGGTGGAAGCTGCTGAGGGCAATGCAGGCCGCAGTGTCACGCGACTTCCACGCTGTTAGGGCAGCACGCTGGCGTGCAAAACGGTCTCTGTTTGCAGTGCTGGGGTCAGCGCCAAAGGGTTCAGGATCGGGGGGCGCAAGAAGGCCACCGGAAGCGTGCGCCCAGTGTGACTCGTCTGCCTAAACCTGACTCTCAAGGAGACGCTGCGCACGCAGGAGCCAGACAGAGAACTCGAGCGGCCTACCCTCGGCGTCAAAGCGCAGGACCCTAGGGGTCGCCATAGCGGAAGTGAAGAGGTGGGAACTGCCGCTGCCGAAACCCTAAACGCCCAGAGTAGGGCGTGACAGGCAGAGCGTGAGTCTCAGGGCGCTATGTGACGTGCAGGGCGCGACGGGATGGCAGGGTAGGGCGCGACACGACGGGACGAGAAGGGCGCGACGCGATGGGCAGGGAGGCGCGACGGGACAGGCGAGGGGACGGGACGGGACAGGCGCGACGCGACGGGACGGGCAGCGCGACGCGACGGGACGGGACGGGCAGGCGCGACGCGACGGGACGAGACGGGCAGCGCGATGCGGTGGGACGGGCAGGCACGGCGCATGCGACGCGACGGGACGGGACGGACGCGACACGGCGGGACGGGATGACGCGACGCGACGGGACGGTAGGGACGGGCGCAACGCGACTGACAGGCGCGACACGATGGGACGGGACAGGCAGGGGCGACGTGACGCGACAGGCGCAGCGAGGGCTAGGGCACTGGATAGACGGGCACGATAAACGCTAGGGGATGGGATGGGCGTGACGGACACAAGGGTACAGGACACGCTCGACAGTAGGGCGCTACGGGCGTGAGCGGGAGGAACGGGATCCCACGGGATCCTAACCTAGGTGATATCATGTCAAGAACTGAATGATGCGTTGATTATGGTCGGTTGGGGTACATAAACCTAACCCTAACTGTTGTCCCCCCATATGACACACATCACTAAAGGCTACAACATTTGACACAGACAAGGCTCAAGCGGGGTCAGACTCAGACAGCTGTCAATCGGCTCCAAACAGGTATGCTGCTGCTTGCTGCTCATAGCTGTCGCACAATCGGTGCATCCCGAGCGTTAGCAAGGACCTGCATGTACGGTATTCCCTTCTGCAGGGCCTCAGGTTGACTGAGCTCTGCACTGCTGTTGAGGGTCTTGCCAGAATGGATCTCATGCCGTGCCGTGCAGTGCCGTGCAGTCCCATGCTGTGCTGTTACTTGCTCCCCAGAAAAGGAATGGGAGCAGAGGCCCGGCGTCATGAGACAAAGGGGATGCCTGACGGCACCGAGGCGGCGTATCGTGCGTACTCGAGTCCAAAGAACTGGTGCAGATAGAACTCCTCGTAGCTGCATGGAGGGGGGAGGGGAGAGCAGAGGGGATGGTGCGATGAGACGAACGTAATACAGGAAGGCACCGAGGCAAGGTGATGCAGGTACTTGAGGCCGATGAGCTGGTGCAGGTTGAACTCGTAGCTGGCGTGGGAGGGATGGGATGAGGAGGAGGGTATGGGAGTCAAGGGCATGTGCTCTCTTATGAATGAAGCATGTGATGGGAATGGTGCACGGGGCACTGGAGGGCAGGAAGCTCTTATGGTGGGGAGGTAGTGGAGGAAAAAGAGGTGGATGGGTGAGGGGGATGAGGAAATATGTAGCTTCAGAGGAGAAGTGGTGACAGGGTGTCTGAAAAGCCTCCAGCATTGCAAATCCTCCACTGCCCATGCAACCTCGCTCGCACCTCTTACCACCCAGTCATGGTATTACAGCTCCTGCCCCACTCCCACTGCAGCCAAAGGGTAACTCACGGGATCATGGGCATGTAAGCGACGGGGGTAGTTCATGAGATGCCTCTCGGCCCACAAGGTATCCAATAGCATGCCTACACAAGCAAGGGGGCAACTCACGGGATGCCCTTTGTGGCCACAAGGTAACTCACGGGATGCGGGCGGCGAAGAAGCGCCAGGAGACAAGGGCAAAGGCGAGCGTGCAGAGGGGGTTGACGAGCAGCAGCTGCGTGGCAATGCTCCACACGAACCACCCCGTGTAGCCCGGATGCCGCACCCACCTGCCATGCGCATGCGGGCATGTGGGCATGTAGGGAAAATGGACATGGGCGGATGGGGACATGAGCATGTGGGGAGGGCATAGGCGGAGTGGTCACATCCAGCAGCTGTGTGGCGATGCGACAAATGAACCATATCAGTGGAGCACCCACCTGCCTGCCATGGGACTGCGGGTAACATGGGATGGGTAGGACATGGGATGGCCACACATGCATGCAGTGCTGGCGGTGCAGGCAGATGAGGACAGCGAAGCGAGAAGCTCATGCACACAGCGAGAAGCTCATGCACACAGGCATCTCATGCACACAGGCATCTCATGCACACAGGCATCTCATGCACACAGGCATCTCATGCACACAGGCATCTCAACAGCCAGGCATCTCAACAGCCAGACATCTCAACAGCCAGGCATCTCAACAGCCAGGCATCTCAACAGCCAGGCATCTCAACAGCCAGACATCTCAACAGCCAGGCATCTCAACAGCCAGGCATCTCAACAGCCAGGCATCTCAACAGCCAGGCATCTCAACAGCCAGGCATCTCAACAGCCAGGCATCTCAACAGCCAGGCATCTCAACAGCCAGGCATCTCAACAGCCAGGCATCTCAACAGGCAGGCATCTCAACAGGCAGGCATCTCAACAGGCAGGCATCTCAACAGCCAGGCATCTCAACAGCCAGACATCTCAACAGCCAGGCATCTCAACAGCCAGGCATCTCAACAGCCAGGCATCTCAACAGCCAGACATCTCAACAGCCAGGCATCTCAACAGCCAGGCATCTCAACAGCCAGGCATCTCAACAGCCAGGCATCTCAACAGCCAGGCATCTCAACAGCCAGGCATCTCAACAGCCAGGCATCTCAACAGCCAGGCATCTCAACAGCCAGGCATCTCAACAGGCAGGCATCTCAACAGGCAGGCATCTCAACAGGCAGGCATCTCAACAGCCAGGCATCTCAACAGCCAGGCATCTCAACAGCCAGGCATCTCAACAGCCAGGCATCTCAACAGCCAGGCATCTCAACAGCCAGGCATCTCAACAGCCAGGCATCTCAACAGCCAGGCATCTCAACAGCCAGGCATCTCAACAGCCAGGCATCTCAACATCCAGGCATCTCAACAGCCAGACATCTCAACAGCCGGGCATCTCAACATCCAGGCATCTCAACAGCCAGACATCTCAACAGCCAGGCATCTCAACAGCCAGGCATCTCAACAGCCAGGCATCTCAACAGCCAGGCATCTCAACATCCAGGCATCTCAACAGCCAGGCATCTCAACAGCCAGGCATCTCAACAGCCAGGCATCTCAACAGCCAGGCATCTCAACAGCCAGGCATCTCAACAGCCAGGCATCTCAACAGCCAGGCATCTCAACAGCCAGGCATCTCAACAGCCAGGCATCTCAACAGCCAGGCATCTCAACAGCCAGGCATCTCAACAGCCAGGCATCTCAACAGCCAGGCATCTCAACAGCCAGGCATCTCAACATCCAGGCATCTCAACAGCCAGACATCTCAACAGCCAGGCATCTCAACATCCAGGCATCTCAACAGCCAGACATCTCAACAGCCAGGCATCTCAACAGCCAGGCATCTCAACAGCCAGGCATCTCAACAGCCAGGCATCTCAACATCCAGGCATCTCAACAGCCAGGCATCTCAACAGTCAGGCATCTCAACAGCCAGGCATCTCAACAGCCAGACATCTCAACAGCCAGGCATCTCAACAGCCAGGCATCTCACGATCGCCTGACCTACGCCCCCCTGTACAGCCCAGGTGTGAGCAGCCGAATGTCATGGATGAAGTTCATCCCTTCTGTCACCATCGCTGTCATCAGGCGCACCACAGGAGAACACACTAGCACCCAACCACCTTCCACCCAGGCTACGCCCACCTGTACAGCCCATACCTGCATGACCATCATGAAACCACCGCCCACCAGTACAACCCATGAGCGACCAGTCGATGTCCGTGCCGCTTCTCCGTTTAAATGTCATCTGTGAAGCTCCGCCCCGCCGTCACCGTGGCTGCCTTGCGCATCGCCTCACCCACCACCACCAGCGTCACCAGCACCACCAGCGCCCCCGTCCATGCCACCAACTCTCACCTGTACAGCCCGTGTGTGACCAGCCGGTGTTCGCGCCTCTTCTCCGTCTGAATATCATGTGTGAAGCTCCTCCCCGCCGTCACCATGGCTGCCTTGCGCAATGCCTCCCCCAGCACCACCAGCGCCCCTCCCACCCACGCCACGGGCCACAGGCGGCGCTTGAAGGATGGGAAGAGGGCGGTCTCGAGGGCGTATTCAGTGAGCGCTGCTGACATGGCGAGCAGATACTCCCGCGAGAAGAGGAACGCTGCATGGCTAGCGGGAGGTGGGGAGTGGTGGAGAGGGATGGAGGTGGGGGAAGAGTGTGTGGGGAGGGAGGGAAAGCGAAATCTGAACAGACCGCCAGCAGCAGCACCACCCCCAGGCAGGCGGGGCTCCACAACAGCGCAGAGGGTTTTTTAGAATTCGCAGACACCACCTGCAAAAGCGCCAGGGGCCAGAGAAATGGGCAGGACGGTGGGGAGGGGAAGGGAGCAGGATGAGGGTGGGCGGCTGGGAGATAAGGAGTGAAAAAGGAAGGGAAGGATGAGACTGGCGGGATAGATGTGGGAGTGGAGAGGCATTGCAGCGTGGTGAAGGGAGGGGAAGGCGACAAAGATGGCTGGAGCGGTGGATTGAGGGGATGGGTAAGGGTGGAGGGATGGGAAAGTGGAGGCGCATTGAAGTGTCAACAGCGCGCCCCGCGATCAGCGCCCTTGCCAGAGACGCGGAGGAGAAGAGACGGATTGGCGAGGAGGGGGAGAAGGAGACGCGAGCGAGAAGAGAAGGGAACGAGAAGCGGGGGAGGCGAGGCGAGGCGAGGCGAGGCGAGGCGAGGCGAGGCGAGGCGAGGCGAGGCGAGGCGAGGCGAGGCGAGGCGAGGCGAGGGGAAAGCGAGGGGAGGCGTGGCCGCGTGGGGAAGGCGAGGCGAGGCGACTCGGGGAAGGCGGGAAGGCGAGGCGAGGCGAGTGAAAGGCGAGGCGGCGTACATCGGACGTCGGGTTTGCCGGTGGACCAGAGCGCGAGGAGGAACTCGGAGGAATGGAAGAAGACGAGCGCCGCGAGGAACGCCGCCAGCATCATCGTGGCGACGACGCGCGATTGCTTGCTTGTTTCCCCCAAGGTTTTCACTACATGAGACGACGCGGTTGCTCGTTTGTTTCCTTGGATGATTTTACTATCAATACAACTCAGTGGCCCTGTTCTACATGCATCTGTTTCCATTGTTAGAAACCTCTTGGTTGCTTCCGTCTACAGTCAATTTAGGTTCGATCGCTTGGTCAGCCCGAAAATGGTGTCATACCTGCTTGTTTCCATCCGGACCTAACGGGAACTTGTGACTGCAGAAGTACGTGCAGGGTGGAAACGGAAACGTCGAGACGGAAGGTGTGTACCCAACTTCTCTCCCTAGTATTTTTTTTTTGTTTCCGTTTGGTTGCCAAGGGATACCTCCTTTTTACGGGAAGCAAAATGGCATCCATATGGATACAATTGTCCAGGTGCAACCAGTGCTCTGCCCTACAAACTATGCACAATTCCGTAAGCCAACCCCCTCCGGTTTTTGGGTGGCGATGGGTCGTGGGGAAATTCAAGAAAGCCCAAGCACTTACGCAAATCAAGAACGCTCACAAAGCTCAAGCTCGTACTTTTCCAGATTCGTTAGAACTCCCGCTGAAAGTTAGGACCCTACGGACGTTTTTTGTTTGGACAAAGCCCCTAGTCAGACGAGTAGACCGTAACTATGTGCAATTCAAAAGTAACTACACCCTCCTCCGCTACGAGAAGCAAGGCCGACCCACGCGTCTGAGCGGGTAGAAATTTCCTGTACAACTGGGTGGGCTTTCGCGTGGTGGGAGGCATGACGAGTCTAAGCAGAAAGCTGTACGAGGCTTCCGGTGCGGCCGTTTCCACGCCGTGGCCGTTTGCCTGTAAAACAGGGCCAGTGGTGCTGTTCGCCAGCACCTGTGAAGCGAAAAACTACGGGATAACGACGGGATCAGGAAGGTGGGTCTCGCCTTCCTGATCCCATCGGTTAGGGTTCGTTTACCTCCGTCAGCCTGGTCAGCCCGTAAAAAAGGTGCCGAGCCTCCCCTAACGTCCAAACCAACAGTCAAAGTGGGTGTCTGGCGAACGCCCCCATTTGTCCACCAAATCGAACTGCTCGACGGCATATGGAAGCGGGGACGCAACTTCGTCCCCAGGCAAAATTCCATCCCCAAGCCATGCCATCGCCATGCCGCGTTTTTCAAAGGACTGTGATGGCACAGCCGTCGCATTGCCGTTCAGGACGGAGGTGGGGACGGAGGTTCCCGACGCGGTTGCGTAATTTCGCCTTTCAGGCGTGAGAAGTTTCTCGGGCAGCATTACGCCCGAACCTCGGAGGAGGGTTCCGCGTCCGTTTCCAGATGCGGTCGCGATGCCGATGCCATCTTTTTCTGTTCAAATTACGATTTGATGGCGAACAGCACCAGTGTGACGCGATCGCTTGTTTCAGAGGCACAAGACTTTTGAGGCAGCTCAGGACTCGGGGGGATGGAAGACGAAGATCTCTGCTGCGAACGCCGCCAACATCATCGCGACGATGCGCGAAATCGGTGCTTTTAGGGTTTAAGATAAGTTTATGTTTTTTACTCGATGGGTTTCAAAAGCAGAACTTGACTCGACTTTGAGCGATGGCAATGTTCGAACCGCGGGTGACAATGCTCGTAGATTCACAATCACACATGTAGGTGCTAATTTGCAAGTTTGAAATTACAGGGGGGGAACCAAGCCGCATATTGGGACTGTAGGTTACCCGGTTTCAATCACTTGGACTGCGCGACACGTCACCGAAGCGCAGCTCAAAAAAGTGCACGCTAGACCTCCAGCTCGACTTCGCCCAAGGGACAAGTTGAGCACGCTACATCTGATGCTCACCCCCTGCACGCGAATTTGCCCTGTACCGGATGGAAACCTTGTCAGAATCACTAGGCAAGAATGATTGAACTAGCAGAAGTTTGGGTACAAATATGAAACCCTAGTTGGGGTTGTACCCCATATTGGCTACCCCACTACAGCCTACAAGCATAATACAGTTTAACACACCCCCATAGGCAAAGTGGGGGAGAACAAAGGGTCACAAGACCAGTCCAGCAAAGCAAAGCAAAGCCCAGGGTGGATCACAACGTCACCACACTCCGAGCACAAGTAAAGGCCACAAGGCCAGTTCACATGCAGTGCTAGATATAGTACAAGACAAGCAACACAGTGATCAAAACCTAGCAAGCAAGCAACAAGATATATATAAAGTACAGTACAAAGAATGTCAAGCAGTGAGCAAGTGAGGAAACGTGGACACAAGGCCTAAAGAAGTACAGTGCCGCTGATGATCACTAGGCGGGAGCGCCTTGGTGAAGATATCAGCAGTGTTGGCCTTCGAGTCCACGTACACAAGCCGAAGCTGACCGCGCTGCTGAAGCTCTCGAGCAAGAAAGTAGCGAAGAGCAATGTGCTTCGTCCTGTGCTCCAGTCTGTGCTCCTGACACAAGGCAAGAGCCGCCTTGTTGTCACCGTACAGAACTGGCGGAGAACTAGGCCGCTCTCCCAAGTCAGTCAGCAGGTAGGTGAGCCAGCGTAACTCCTGTGCAGCCATGGCTGTGGCGTAGATCTCAGCCTCACAACTAGAGCCGAGAACAGAGGAAGAGCGGGTGGACCGCCACGAGACAGAACCAGAGCCAAGGCTGAAGGTGTAACCCTGTGACGACCGCTGCGTAGCCAGGTCGTCCACCCAAGAGGCGTCCGAGTGACCAGTGAGGACAACTCTGTCGCGTCCTCCAAGCACCAGCCCCATGCCTGATGTACTGCACAGGTACCGCAGCACCCTCTTAGCAGCCTCCCAGTGCTCTCGCCTGTGTCTCCCAGGCGCAACGTAACGAGCAAGGATACTAAGAGGGTACGCAAGGTCAGGTCGCGTGCAAGTCATCAGGTACATGAGGCAGCCTACAAGCTCTGGGTACGGGCCACTCGGCTCTACGGACTCGTCCGAAGGTGGAGCTGAGAGTGAGTGGCTGGTAGCCAGAGGTGTGGCCTGTGGTGAGGAGAACTGGAAGCCGAAGCGCTGAAGGACCTGCTGCACCATGTGTGACTGAGTCAGGGTGATGGTGCGACGGGCTCTGTCCCGGGTGATCTGCAAGCCAAGGTAGCTACGCAGTTCACCCAGGTCAGTGCAGGTGTGTCTCTTCTGCAGCTCCGACTTCACACGAGCGAGTGCCTCAGTGTCAGCAGTAGCAAAGACCAAGTCGTCGACGTACACGAGGATGTAGAACGGCGGCAGCGACGTGTCAGTGCGCAGAAACAGCGACGGGTCAGCAGTAGACGGCGCGAACCCAAGAGCCGCAAGGGTAGTCCTCAGTGTGTCGTGCCACTCACGTGGCGCCTGGCGGAGACCGTAGACTGGCCGGCGGAGACTCCACTGGGTACCAGGGGGAAACGACCCAGTAAAGCCAGGTGGGCGGCGCAGCCAGATCTCCTCGTGCAGGCTGCCCTGCAGGAACGCTGTGCTGAAGTCAAGAGAGTGAAGCTCGTAGTCACGCTGAGCAGCAACGTGCAGCAAAACCCGAAGAGTGGTCATCTTCGGGGTGGGGGAGAAGGTCTGGAAGAAGTCGACCCCCTGACGCTGACTGAAGCCTCGAGCCACGTAACGCGCCTTGAAGACAGGCGGAGAACCCGGCGGCCGCTTCACCCTGAAAATCCACATGCCATCGACGATGTTCGCCCCAGGAGGGGGAACCTCGTCG